GGTCAGGATGCTTATCTAGGTAATTGTTTGGATTAATTCGAATATGGATTATCTCAGTTGAAAAACTGGGTCACAGAAGCTCAAAATAGGAAAACATTGTTAACACTCTAGCCGTCACATATTTGACTCCATCACCATCAAACTTAGCCAGGATGCTTGTCTACGTAATTGCTTGGATGAGTTTGAACATGGGTTATCTCGGATGAAAAACTAGGTCACAGAAGCTAAAAATAGAAAACATTGTTAACACTCTAGTGTCCACATTTTTTACTCTTAAGTCAACAAACTTGGTCAGGATGCTTGTCTAGGTAAATGCTCGGACGACTTCAAACATGAGTCATCTCGGATGAAAAATTAGGTCACAGGAGCTAAAATTAGAAAAATCTTGTTAACACTTAAGTGGTTACTGTTTTGATCCAAATATCCTTGAAATTGGTCTGAAAGTTGTTTGATGATTTCTAGGTCAAAATCCATTATGAGTCACTCACTGGTAAGAATCTAGGTCACACTCTCAAATTTGGATAATCCTTGTTAACGATTTCGAGACGTGTCGGCCCCAAGACATATCGGCCCAAAATTACCCAAGACGTTTCGGACCCAGACGTTTCGGCCCTTTACCAAATCGGCCCCAGAATAAGTACTGTGTTTTAAACCGGTATATCAAAATTTCATAGTTATAAAAACCATAAATGACAATTTTCATGAAGTGGAACGCCAATTTCCAAGTACCTTGAAAGATTTACGATACCTCTTATATATTTTATGTAAGATTAAATCTTAACCAAAACCATCAACGATTAGATACTTGAAGCATTTAATGTTAACTTCAATGTTTATAAATATCTCACAATAAATAGCTACTCGTAATTATTTCTTTGATATTGAAAAATCTAACACATTTAATTATCAGGTAAGGAAAGTTAGTAACAGAAGCCATAATATCTATAATTCTTTTGTCACTGTCAACATTGTTTGATTAAACTAATTAATAAATATATAGCAGGTAAATTGCATTTATAATTTGGTTTCAGTCTTTCAATCACTTTTATAACATCAAGCATCTATCAATATGTAATAACAATAATTATTAAGAATATTACCAGGAGATTATAGCAAACCGTTTTTTTTTAATCTTTTGAAGTTTTCTCTGATATTACTTACATAAAGCTATAAACAGTTAATTAGTTACACCTTGAAAAAAATACATATAGTTTAATTAAGATAAAAAATAATGTTTTCCAAGGAATAATTGTAATTAACTTTCTTAATCAAGAAGCTTTAGTGGTTTGTTTTATACATAAAGGATTAACCTGCCTTTATTGTTTGTTACAGCTTTAAAAACATTAACGTATATCTAAATGGTTCAAGAGATCAAAGATACTAAATAATTATTTAAAGAATTAGAGTGTCATAATTGCTTCATTGTAATTAAATTAATTGTTGTTAATTAATTTAATTAATTGTCTGTACTATATAGTAGAGCCGAAACGTCTCGCGGAAAAGGGCCGTAACGTCCAGGGCCCGATTTTTCCACTGGGGCCGATTTGGTTTGGGGCCGAAACGTCCTGTTTGCTTGTTAACACTAGTGGTCAAATTTTTGACTCACCTGTTGTGAAATTTGGTCTGAGAATGCTTGTCTAAATAATTGTTCGGATGAGTTTGATGGGTCAGGTGAGCAATCAAGGGCCATCTTGACCTTCTTGTTTTGAAATTGTGGCATCTTGCTTTCTGTATCTTACGCTGTCTTCCAAAATCTAAAACGACTTATACTCTTCTGAAGGACTCGCCTGTACGGGCACCCGGTAGAATGTATGAAGAAACTCAATAACACACATATATTCACTCTGTTTAATGATTCTTATTGCAAGTTAACTTACGGTGATAGACTCAGGGAATGCAGAAAAAAATCACACAACCCATGGTGACAGGCCAATCTAATGTTTCTTATTGCAATTATGATAATATTATAGGTCTATCTAATTGTTCTTATCGTAAGTTAACCCATATTGATAGCTTCCGGTAAATACAGTAAAGCTCACACAATCAACCACTGTGATAAGCCTATCAAATGGTTTTTATCGCATGGCTACCAATGGTGATACCCTGGGGGAATGCAGTAAAGCTGACATATCTCATGATTCTTATTGCAAGGTAACTAAGGAAATGCAGAAAAGCTGGCAAAACCCACGGTGGAAGGCCTATCTAATTGTTCTTATCGCAAGTTAAACCACGTTGATTGCTCCATGGAATGCAATAAATCTCATGCAATCTACGATGATAGGTCTTCCTAATTGTTCTTATCGCAAGTTAACACAGGGCAATTGGTCTATCTAATGGTTCTTATCGTAAGTTAACCCAAATGGATAGCCGTAGGGAATACAGTAAGTTTCACACATTCTACTCACTCTGATATGTTATGGTTATTATCACAAGACTATCGACGGTGAAAGCCTCAGGGAATGCAAACAGGCTCGCACCACCCTCAACGATTGGCTTATTAAACGTTTTTAATCGTTTAACCCAAGATGACAGTCTCAGGGAGCGCAGTAAAGCTCATACAACCCAGGGTGATAGGCCTGTTTAATTGTTTTGATCGAAAGTTAAGCCATTGTGATATCCTGCATTAGTAAAGCCTATCAAATGGTTTTATTGAAAGTTAAGTAACGGTGATAGAGTCAAGGAATATGATTCGTCAATCTTACTGTTCCTGTCACATGTCAACCCACGGTGATAGCATCAGAGAATGAATTAAACTTCACACACAAACAACTGTGCATGGCCTATGTAAGGATTTTTATCGCCTTACCGGTGATAGCCTCAGGATATGCAGTGAGATCACACAACACACGGTGATATATCTAATAATGGTACTTATGGCAAGGTATTCCACGATTATAGCATCAAGGAATACAGTAAAACCCAAACAAGTAAAAGTAATAGGCCTATCTAATCGTCCTTGACGCACGTACTTCAAAGGAATGCAGTCAAGCTCAAACAACCAACAATGATATGTCTATCTAACGGTTCTTATCGCAAGTGAAACCACGGTAATAACGCATGAAATGCAGTAAATCTCACACAACCTACGGTGATAGTTAATTCAAATTAAATAGCCAATCAATTCATCGCAAGTTAAACCACGGTTATATAGCTGAATAGCTGAAGATACCGTAGTACAGCTAAAACATCTCACGGTTATATGCCTATTTGATGGTTCTTATCGCCAATTAACCCATAGTGCTAGGCCTATATTATGGTTCTTCGCGCAAATTAATCCAGAATAATAATCATAGTAAATGCTGTAAAGCTCAAACGACCAAAGGTGATAGGTCAATCTAATGGTTCTTATCGCAGATTCACCCCCGTTGATAGCCTCAGGGAATGCAGTAACACCTATACAAACAAACTACGGTTATAGGTCTATCTAATGGTTTTAACGCAGGTTTACCCACAATGATAGCTTTAGGGAAGTCAGCACAGCTTACACAGCACACAGTGACACGCATTTCTCATGTTTTTTTATTGCAAGTTTACCCTCGTTGAAAGCCATAGGGAATGCAATAAAGCTAACAAAGCGGTGGTGATAGACCTATCAAATTTATAAGTTAACCCACGTTGATAGCTTGAGAAAATGCAGTAAAGCTCACGGTGATAGGGCTATCGAATGGTGCTGATTGCAAGTTATCCAACGGTGATAGCCTTAATGAATGCAGTAAAGCTCACACATCCAAGGATTGATATATGTCAGCGGGCGGGCTGGCGTAAACAATTTCTTCTGTGCGCAAATCCTCCTACATTTCTCAAGGGATTTTGTTCAAACTTTAACAGAGTTTCCTATTATTACTGGATAACCAGGTTTTCCGTGGGAAAAACTGGTTAATAGGTGTTTGTATGTCGGCGAGTAGTCGGGCGTAAATAATTTCTTTTTTGCGCAACCCCTCTTAAATTCCTAAAGGAATTTTGACCAAACTCCCACGGAAGCTTTGTAATCAAGTACCCTTGCACATAATGTCAGGATTTTGTGATCCACTAATATTTTATTTAATTATGGCCCTTCATTTGTTTCCTTATATAGAAAATATAGTGAACAATTTCGTCTGTGCGCAACACCTCCTACATTTCGGAAAGGATAAAGTTTAAACTTTCACAGAATCTTTGTCATTAAATGCCCTGATGCATATTGTCGTGATTTTGTGATTGGATAAATTTTAATCTAGCTATGACTCTTTGTTTTTTCCATAAAATAGTGCAATTCGTTAATTACTTCCTTACGGTTTATGAAATTAGATTCTACAAATGACGATTTTATTAATTATATTTGAAATATTTATAAAATCAGGATCAAGGGCCCATTACTTTATTATAGGGGCAAGTGTGCAGATTGTGTTTTGACATCAATATAGCGGGAATACTATCGTGGGATTTAGCGCCTATTTAACCATATACAGTTTTCGCTTTAATTTTTTGATTATCCGAAAAAAAGGTTCAACAATTCCCGTGGGTAAGGGGCAGTCGAGGACACAACAGTCGGTAAACATATCGAACGGTTACTATTAAGTCTGTGAATCGATAGAGCGGTGTATGTTTATAATGATCAAGAAGTAGTGAAAAGTTATTTCACAGAAAGAGGTATACAGGCTAGAGTTTAAACATTTTATATTTTTTAACAACTTGCCCCTCATCACTTTTGGTTCGGAGCCTGCCAGGTATTCTCCCAAAGGTAAAACTTGAAGATTGCTTTTAAAGTGTCGGTATGACTTTAAACACAATAAATTAAATAAACAAAAGGTAAGATATAAATAAACTTATAGTAGTATACCCCTTATGCATAACCTCAGCTTTGAAGAGCATTCAAACGCACTAGAATTAATGTCAACTGATTTGAAACTTAGGGGCGTTGCTTCAAACCCCAAAAGGTGCATTTTTATTTCTTTTCAACATTATTTGAGTATCTCTCAAATACCTAATGGAACTAAAAATATAGTAATATAATTATAATATTTATATAATGATTGAAGGTATTTATTGGCTAAATAATGCTAAATTTTAAAGCAAATATGATACAATTCATTTTTAAAGTCTTATAAAATAAGAACTACATAGTAAAAGTATTTAATATTTTGCAACATCAATCAAAATGCTTTTAAGAAAATTTTGACAAACTCTAGAAACCACTCCTCATTGTGTCAAATTTTAGAAATATTTTGAATAAAGCTTTTTAATTTTTAAGGTAAATTATCATAAGAGTGTGAAAATTGGGTGGGGTAGGGTAATATTTTTATACATATTACAAACATTTTTGTGTAAATACAATTATTTTTCACATGTGATTTATTTCCTGAATGCTATTATTTGTTTCTTAACAATGATCAATAAAAAAAAGTTTTCATAATTATGATATTATAGATTATTTAGAGTTTCCTCAATGCTGAAAATGAGTCCTTCTAATAGCCAAGTTTTAGTTCAGAAAAATGTCCATTAACCATACGCTAAATTTTCTTAAAAATGTGTATAAAGGTGTCCTGTAAGGCATATAACTGTGCAATATTGTCAACTTTTTAGTTCCTAAGCGGTGTTCTACCTAAAAAATTTAAAGTTTACTTTTTCCAAGAATCACCATTGCAACACATGAACTTTACATCATTAAGAGAGGTGTCATCTCCGTTACGTTGATAATCTTCCACTTTAGTCTGTATGCCGCATATTGCAGAGTTTGGTGGACATGCCCTACTCCATCCACTAATAACCCCCCAAAACCCATATCCAGGCGTTAGTGCAATCTCGTAGTTACACGATCCAGAATCTCCAGAATCCATACGTCCACATCTGAACTTAATATAGTTCGCAGCCGTGTCGTCCCCATTCTTTTAGAATAAAAAGATACATTCACCATTCAGTCTTTGTTTATAGAATACATTTATATCAAAAGCGAATTCGTTTGGTTTATAAATCTATCTTGCTTTAATTAGTCAAAAGTTCAAAAGTCTCCAAGCAAAATCTTTCTTTACATATTTTACTTTATCACTAATAAACCTTACATTACGTCCAATGTCAGAATTTTGGCGCATTTTTGTAGAATGGTGTGCAAATGCGAGATTGAAATAAGACAATTTATGGAGAAAGCTACAGATTCTTATTAAAATTAATGGAGTAATAAAATAAAACTCACATGTCGGTACTCTTCAACTTGTAACGCAAACTCTTTCAGAAACATATATTTAGGGCAAATAATAACTTCACCCCAGTCTCCAAACCGTCCAACAGTTGAAGTGATTGTTCCACCAAATAGTCCACCTTCTAGTGACGAACACACAAGCATAATTCCATTAAGTGACGTATCATCCCGGTCCCCTTGTTTTGGCTCAATCTAAAAATATGAAGGCTATGGAAGTGAAATGCATCACAATTAATCATTAATGATCGTTTGATTTACTGTTCTTGTATTCTTCATACAGTTCTCTTATAAAAGTTGATTTGCATTGTTTATTGTAACCTTACAATAGCAGTATATAAGCTTTAGTGCAAAAATAGACCTAATTTGAGGAAAGGTGTTCCAATTCGTAAGTGCATTTTTTTTGCTGAAGAGTATTTAAAATATTACGTATCTTTTAGTAGAAAAAAGGTACAAAAAATTCATCAATAATTTGGGCGTAGATCGACCAACATATTCGTAGCTGCTAGGTATGCTAAGGATGTAACCTGATTCGGATATGTGTTACCTATTTTGATAATGTGTATGCACAATCAATCAAAGCTTATGAAAGAAGGGAGGAAGCACTTATGAGCAAATTAATTACATCGCAGGAAACCATATTAGATAGAATTATTCAATCATTGTTTCAGTCTGAGGATTTATGGTTTGAATTTTCTTAAGATTTCAATTTATACCACCCTATGCGGATTTCATCAAGGATGGGGGACTTAAAAACTCAGAAAACAAAACGTTCGGCCTTTCTACAGAACCACGAAGTGGTGAGACATGCTATTTTAAAATATGGTATAACAATTTCTTCAGGGATTTCTCTAATTTCAGTTTCAGTTATGCTTTAAATAATCAATGTTGTAATGCAAATTATTGGAAAATTACATTGTAACCTTGAATCTCTAGCAAAACACTAGCTCAATCGTATCTTGAGTACCAAGAAAAAACATTTCAAGGAGATAGGAGTTGACAAATCTTATTCCATCTACTCAAACAACACTTGACATATTGTCCTTGCAACAGAAAATACTTTCAGGGGCCTACTTACTTAAAATTATTAAACAATGATTGCGTGTATTCATTTGATTGTGTGCTTTTTTGCAGTGTAAAGTGCACAAAGGAGTTATTTACACATTCGATATTGGAAGAAAATTACAATACAAATAATCATAGTACCGCTGAAAAAACCCAACATGTTTACATGTGATATTCCCTAAAATTCTGGTCGATTCTTATGTAACACTGTAAGTACAGACTGGTATGATATAAATCAAAATGTAAAATCGATAATATTCAAGATAATATATAATGAACACAGGACTGTTTCAACTGGAAAAAAATCTTTAACAATAAAAACAAAAAGCTACAGTGTATTTTATCACATCAACAGTTCAGGGGTCAATATTTCTATTACTCGTTTTAAAGATTTGTTACTTTTCTTTATTTTATATTACTACTTAAAGTCTGAAATGAACTGACTGAGATAAAAAATATACATATAAATCCTTTTTATTTGTTTAGTTTTATAATATCATATATATTTATATATATATATATATATATATATATATATATATATATATATATATATATTATATATATATATATATATATATATATATATATATATATATATATATATATATATATATATATATATATATATATATATATATATATATATATATATATATATATATATCCGAAGTGTAAAGTTTAAAACAATACGGATAAAAATAGCGGGAAAAAAGAATGAAGTGATGCCTTTTTCAGTTTACATTGCAATTGTTTATTAACAAAATTGTAATAAATAATTGAAGAGAAATATCAACCGGTTTCACCCGTTAAAGGGATCTTCAAGATAATGATGTTAATAACGTCGCTTGGTAACGACGTCAAAACAGTGTAAAGTGACGTTACTCTCATAACGTTTTAAAGGGACATAATAATAAGCTATAATATTATTGTTATATATATATATATATCTTTATTACATGCTTTTCGGTGGTTTATAGAAATATATCAGTGATATAAAACTGGTAATTTCACTGTTTGAAACAGTGAAATTACCACTTTGATAATTTCACTGTTTTGAATTTAAGCCCCTAACGTTGTTTCAGTGAAATACCAGCGTGCACAGAACTGGGTACCAACTTAATGATGTGACGTCGTAAATGACGTCACGTTGTATTATTATTTGGCGCGCTTTTCATTCAGTATTAGGTTAAATGTCTTTTTAAAACGCTTCTTTGCATATAATAAAAAGAAAATTTGTTTAGTTTAGTGTAAGATCGAAATATATTTCACTTGTGAACACCAAAAGTTTATATTTCACTCGTGGCTGCGCCACTCGTGAAATATACATTTTGGTGCTCACTCGGTGAAATATATTCCGATCTTACACTGAACTAAACAAAAGGTTACAAACCCATGAGTGTCATGGTATACAATCAATCATTTAATAATAAATATAGGTCAATGGTGACATATAACAATGACATATAATAGTCTCTAAAAGACATGTAATTACACATTTAATGTAACAATTCTTAATAGAATTAATTGTGTTGCATACATAAAGCTTTTAAACACTAAGAAATAAAAAAGTAAATAAAATAAATTGCATTATGTTCTAACCGGAAGAAACTTAATAATTCACAATAGAACCTGAACTTGTGATTTAATACATTACAATCACATATAAATATGTATGTTTTACTAGAAGGAACTTAATATTGCATAATATAACATGAACTAATAATCAAATACACATGTGCTTTACACTTACATATAAAATGTATATTTTGAAGTATTGAATGATTAAACAAAACAGATTATTAATATATACTTGTAAAAATGACGTTGTATGAGAAAAGTGTGAATGAAAATATTTTTTAAGAAAAGTAAATCGGTGTACGGTTTTCAAAAGCTTTATAAATAAAAGTGGACAGTTTTCTTATTATAGTAGTCGATTCATTTGACATTAATTCGATAAATTTAGATATGTTTGGTCTTTTCCAGTAGTACTTTGGTAAATACTTCGTTCTTATTTCACAATATAAAGTACATTCTAATAAAAAATGGTATTCATCCTCGAGTTTGTTACATATTATACATTTTTTTTCATTTCTTGGAATTTTGTTTGGTTTATGCCATCTCCCTGTTTCAATTAATAACCTATGTGCTGAAACTCTAAATCTTGTTAATGCTATTCTAAATTTCTGAATGTTAATTTGTTCAAGATACAATTTAAAATCAAAGTTTGAAAAAAGAATGTATCATATCTTAAATCAACATTGTCAGGGTGTAGCCCATACCAGGCGTTGTAACTGTGGAAACTCCCGATGACGACGAAAGATCGTTGACGATCTTACGTTACCCTAATTCCGCGTGAGTTTATGAAGAAAAACAAAATACACTACCGCCACTTGTCAAATTAATTGAAAAAGACAAACCTACTTGTATATATTAATTTTTCCGATCGTGCAACAAGTAGTTACATAACTTTAGATAACTTGCAATTGAAACGGTACTCTTACACAAAGTTTATGTAATAATGTTTAAAAAAAAATGTGAGCTACTTTGTCGATAATTTCAATTTGAAATTCTGTATGCGTTTTTCGTACTGAGATACATTTACACTTGTAGAAATTATATGTCAAGGAAAGCGCTGATTCAGTTTAACATGTGTGACGTTGCATTTTTGCGTGGTGTCAAATAAAACGACGTCGCAAATAATGTTCAATAGCGTCATAAATCAAGTTTTTATTGACAAAATAATAAAATTTGTTTTGAACGATTCAGGAAATAATGCATTTTTAGAATCTTTGAAAAAGTAAAATGTCAAATTTGACCATTATGTTGGAAATATCATATCACGGTTCATTTATAAAAAAAGCTTTATTTTATGCTTTTGAGTGGATTACTGATTTATCCGTGAAAATTATATTTGATAATTTCACAGTGAAAATTATGAAAATATAATTTCACACTTTTCAATGACAGACGACTTTTGAAGATTTTCCCAATGTGGTACCTACATTTTATTTTGCTGAAAATTCTGACAATGTCAGGGCTGTTTAGAATAAACAAATCTGAAATTGATAAATAAATTAAATTTCAAAAGTAGTAAAAAGAAAAAAAACTTATCAATTCATAAAAATTATCAATTACAAAAAATGGTCTCGAAATGTTTTGTTTTATTTTTACAGTCTGAAAAATACACTTCCTTCAACGTGCAAAACTGCTCTTGATGATATTTAGGCGTATTTAAGCATCATATGAGGAATAACTGCCTAATGCAACATGAAAATTTCTAAAGCAAGGACAGTCATCAGCCCAAAGAATAAGTAAACAACCCAGCGTTCGTAAGAAAACCTTTTTTTTCAAATTTCTAGCTGCTTTTGAAATGTTTACACATCTGTCAACAATTATTTATTGACTGTAACAATCCTTAAATAAGTTTTCTTTCTTATAAAAAGATGTATGACTAATATATCTAAATTATATTCCTCTCAATCAAAACACTTATTTTCCTCCCGTGAAATACAAAATTTTTAAAAGTGGCAGCCGTTTATATTACAGAAAGCCTGGTCTTATGTAAATTTAACGTAAGTAACGGAAATAGGGTCGGATAGTTTGACTTTTTCTTCACTAAAACTGTTTGTTTTTATTATTAAAACAAGTGACCATTTATATTTTTGAATAAAATAAATGATATCATCGCCATTTTATGTTGATTGTCGAACTTATTTTTCAGCTCAAGACTTCTTGTATTTATGAGAAATTGGACTAAAATTGGCTTAAAGTTAAGTGTACCAGCGGGGAAAACAGATTTAAATTTTAAAGTTAAAGTGACATAATGCCAATCCAAGGGTATGTACTGTGTGAACATGTGAATAAAGAATTAAGTTTTCATTTTGCAATAAAGCCTTTTGATTTAATTATTGTAAAAACAATTATTGCAATTAATTATTATTAAGTAATTATTGCAAAAACAATAAATAACACACGGATCCTAAGGAATTTTCTGTAAATATCCATTAGAATTTACGCTGACCGTTCAGTTTATAAAAAGAATGGGACAGTCTTTTTATATTGAATGCAGATTTATAATTTTTATCCCAAACATTTTCAAATATCACCTGTTTGTCAAACACCATTTAACAGTCAATCTTTTGAAATTTAAAGTCAATTCAGCTCAACGTTACTATGAAAATATGAGCATAATGTCACTTTAATATTGAGGAAATTTCATTTAAACTTGCTTTTTAGCATAAAAAAAATGTTTGTTTGTTGTGTAAGATGTAATTTTATTTCATCTCGTGAACTTACGCCACTTGTGAGAATCCTGTTTTTCAAGCTCTCTTAAGGAAATAAAATTTCATCTTACACACAAACAAACAAATATCCTCTATATTTTTTTACATTTATATGCACAATTAAATTGTGTCTGCAACTTCGCGTTTTTCGCACAATAGAAGAGACCATATGGAATTCCTATTTATATTTATCCTATTAAAGTTAGTTAGTATATTGTTTCTAAGTTGTAACTTTCATTCATATTATATACGAGTACATTTTGAAAAGTGTAGTGTCTTGTTGTTTGTTAGGTTGGTTGCTTTCTAAATCGATTTTATCACATTTGGTAACATCTCGGCGGTCCGTCCAACTAACCGGTGAGCTTGATAACCAATTAACCAGTAATTAAAGTAATTATGAATTACAAATTAAATGCAAAAAAACAAACAATCAGATTAATTGACAATAATAGATTTTGAGCGTACCTTCATAACATATCCGGCAGCATATGAACCTTTTGGACAATACTGCATACTACCCCACGTTCCCCAAATAGCTCGATGTGTAGGTCCAATTATGTCAACACAAACAACAACAGGAGAAAACACGAGTACGCTGACAAGAAGTAGGAAATACATATTCAACAGTCCACAGTATTAGCAAGTAGCAAATAAGTATGTGTATTTGGTAATATCTTTTTATCATCTGAAGTATATAACAAGGTTTTATCTAGACATCCTCCTATTCAAGGAGGAGGCGGAGTTACGATATCACATGATAATGACATCACAAGAGGCTTCTACAACGGAGGCCGGGAAATCGGCCAGAATAAATCAGAGACACTTGATGACAAAAAAAAGATTTGATCGACAACCCATTGTGACCGACTACCCGCCGTGAGTGTTATAAACTTATCTATAACACACATTTATCAATTCATTAAAAATCTACAGACAAAAGTCTGTTTTTTTTTAATTGATACATCTGCTTTGTATTTAAAGTAATTTATAAATACAGTAGGTATATCAAATTAAAAAAAGCGTTTTGTTGGTAGATTTTATTGAATTGATAAGTTTCTGTGTTATATATAAAAATCACGGCGGGTGGTCGGACACAAAAGGACGTTTTTTTTGCGATCAAATGCCTATGGAAGAAATACAATTTTTCTGGTTCTAACACCCTGCAAAAATCGGAAAATATCTTTCAACATGAGAAAGAAACTAATTCTTTTTTCAAAAAAGTAAAGACTGTGGATAAGCTTAGATTACGCGGTATGTTTCATTATGTTTATGTCATTTTTTACCGAGAATGTACTGAAAAGGAAGGAAACAATTACGCGGAAAGTATGAATATACTGCCTTTAAATTGGGCACAGAGGGACCCCCTCATCAATAGATCATTATGTTAATATAAGTTCTTTTCTTCTTATTTTAATGAATAATTACAGAATGTTTACCCACCAGGCCCCACTTGATTCCCAGCAGAAAATGTCTAAAATTTTCAACTTTCGCCGATATAATGTGACTAAACGGATCAATAAAAATATATATAAAAAAAAAAACTTAATTTTATTTAAAAGATTTGCTAAATTTGTTTATTCATTTGCTTTAAGAAAAAGTAAAAAAGTCAAATGTTGCACACTCTCATGATCAATGGCTCTTGTTACGCAAGATTATAGAGAATACATTGTTGATGTCGGGATGGAGTTTTATCCGATCAGCGAGAAAGTGTATCTTGGCGAGCTTTAGCGAGCCAGGATAAACCTTTCAATCCAGACATCAATCGTGTTTTTGATTTATCCTGCTTTTGATCACGCAGTAAAGTATACGCCAGTACGTCATAGGAGGTAGTTCAAAAAATACAAATGTCTTAAAAGTTGAAAATAGTTGTTGAAATCAGTACCATTACCGAAGGCATCTCAGAGAGTTTTGGCTCATAAACATTGGAAGTTTTACAAACAGGAAAATTGAAATGTAGTCCATTGAAATGTAGTAAAGCTTCCGAGGAACTTGAACCTTGAAATATTCAACAGCACCATTTTAAATGATGAGCAGAAAGTTACTATTTTAACATCAGATTTAGGCCGATGTCCATAAATATGCATTGAAGTAGAACTAAGTCATGTACATCGGTATATTTAAACTACATAAAAGAATAGGTAAAATATGTAGTTTGTCATTTAATCATATTCATTTTTTTCTCTATAAAATTATCGAATATGACTAGATTGAAAATTCAAATAAAGAGTCATTCCAAAACGTTTGCGCTACTTATACTCAAGGTTAATTTCAAGTTGAAATGAGTGATACCGTAGTAAGTGCATTGGTGTGCTATTTTTAAGTTACGACATAATTTACACTTCAGATTTTTTAAAGATATTTTGTAAAAAGGAGATTTATCGTAAGATTTCTCTTACAATAAAAATTTGTTGTAAGTTTTATATTGTGGAAATGGCTCCAGACCTGTCGGATCGGTTACTTCTAGAGAGACTAAAATCTTATTCCTCCTCAAGTAATTGAATTTTTATATGGATAGCTATGTTAAATATATATATACGCTGATTATATGTAAGTGTGAAGTATGTAAATTGCGATTAATCGGGAAACTGATTAAGTGCTTCTATCTGTTGCAATTACAACCTTGGTAATATGCTTGTTTTGGAGTAAAACAGAGCGTTATTCATTCTGAGAATCAGTGAAAAGCTTAAACTATCCAATTTCTTGGATATGACTTACAATTACGATCACAGATTCAGAAGGAAGCGATGGGTTGCCTCTAATGGTTTAGGTATCAGAATGGTCGCCACCTTTTTATCTCTATGTGATCGTAACAGGGTTCGAATTAGCTCCAGCAGATTAGATGGTTTCGACCCCTGGCGTTACTTGCAAAATTATCTTCCCTGTTTTAGCGCCATATTACCTAAATTGTGTTGGTACGCAATAAAACCAAACCAAACAAACATAAAATAGATAAATACAGAATTCCTAAAGAAAGCCCAACACGGCAAAATTGAAAATGTTGCAGGCTCGGTTTGATTGAGCCTGTTCATGGACGGTACTGGAAAGTGCAAGTTACTGTCCACGCCCCCTAGCACCGGCTTAAGCAGAATTCAACATTTAAACGTGAAATAGTAAAATTTTGAATTTAGAAACATCCGCAGATGTGTTCATACGGCGGTTATCATGGAACTTTCAATGTGACACTTCCGTGCCATTCCATGAAAAGCGGCGCATGGTCCCCAAGAAATAAAAAGCGTGTGCCCTAAACGAGAAAACAATGGGCGGAACTAAATAAAATGGAATTTTGAAAGGGGATAAGAGGTTATGAAGCCTGCGTATCACAGATAAGACGTCAAAAGACAAATTTAAAAAGCAGGCAACATATCCTAAAGGTGATTCAACATTATTCAAATAAGGCGGCCATAAGCACAGGCGACGTTGTTTGTTTGTATAAAGCATATAGAGGCTGTCTAGGTGGTATAGACACCAGGGAAGTAAGGAAGTGGGTTACATGGTGGACTGACCGGGCACTTGCGTTGGACAGTCCACAGCTCCTTAAAAACTTCTGGGGACAATTACCACTACAGAGAAACGATCAATTAGCACAATGAGGAAATCAACAACATACCTTAGATCTGCAATGACCAGTGAAAGACCTGGAAAAGATCTGGGCTTGGCCTTATTAATATCTATACAAGTACATGCATGTAATATAGCAAGAGTGAATATGATAATATCAATTATTTACTTAACATATCATATACAAATGCAGTACCAAAATCAGAGAATATCAGCATACATATTTAGCTGTTAAAAATAGTAAATATTTCATGAAAAAAAAATGAATTTGTATGAAAAAAGCCGTAATATTATGCCGAAATATAACGTGTAATTCGGACTTCTATTTAAAAATGTTTGTTGATTTTCTATTGATGTATCGATGACCTAAAGGCGGAGTTTCTTATACAAAAAGAAAATGTACTTCCGATTTTGCGACAATGAGGTTGCAGATTTTTATGCTTATCAAAGTCAATTTGGTTGTTTGAAAATAAGAACGGGAGTCGATATGAAACACATTTAATTTACGAACAGTAGCAGAATTTCGAGCTGGAATTAAATTTCGAACAAACCCGAAGATCGAAATTTAAAAAAATTCAATATCCGATTTTTAAGGTGGAGTTGAATCTTGAAACAGCTCGAATATCGATATTCAATTTTTTCAAAAGCTGAATTGAGAGCTAGAGTTGAATTTCCAGATAGCTCGAAGTTCGAAATTCAAAATTCTCAAAACCTGAATTTCGAGCTGAAGAAGAATTAAGAGCCAGATCGAAGTTCGAAATTGAAATTTGAAAAAGCTGAATTTCGAGCTGGAACTGAATTTCGAACCAACCCGAAGATCGAAATTAAACATTTTTAATATCCGATTTTTAAGGTTGAGTTGAATCTTGAGACAGCTCGAATATCTACTACTACTACTACTACTACTACTACTTCGAAGATCGAAATGAAAAATTTGAAAAAGCTAAATTTCGATCTGGAACTGAATTTCGAACCAACCCGAAGATCGAAATTAATATGTTTTTAATATCCGACTTTTAAGGTGGAGTTGAATCTTGAGACAGCTCGAATAACGAAATTAATTTTTTCAAAAGCTGAATTGAGAGCTAGAGTTGAATTTCCAGATAGCTCGAAATTCGAAATTCAAATTTTATAAAATCTGAATTTAGAGCCGAAGAAGAATTTAGAGCCAGATCGAAGTTTGAAATTCAGAATTTTCAAAACCCAATTTTGGAGCTGGACTTGCATTTTGTGTAAGCTCGAACATAGAAAGCTACTACTACTACTACTACTACTACTGTAACCAAGTGCTATTTTTAAGGTTTTTGCTATTTTCCAAGAAAGGTAACTCTGTCGGCCTTATTTGATTTTAATCTTAACTTTGTGTGATTATGTCCCCTTGACAACATTGGCTATTTGCTCAACCATAACGTTTCCCTCCTAAAGTTAGGGTCACTTGAGGTCATTCTTTGTGTTAAAGAAGTTGTTGGTCATTGTGACATGCAGATGTGTTGATTTTATATTATTAATAAGGATTTGGATTGAGGAATCGGTATTTGTATGTTTTATTCATTTGTTCTTAAAAGTTCTAATGTCAACTAAATGAAGACTTATAATAATTAAGTACAGTTGTGGATTTGATAACAGTTATTTTGCTAAATTTGTATTGTTCTTGAGTGTTAGAATTCAAGATGGTAGCATATGTTCTTATCTTTTAGTTATTCCTAGAAATCACTGTTTCTATTTGTATTGCACTGATGTTTGTAAATTACAGTTTACAGCATAATTAACCGCACAGTAAGACAGGTGTGAGTGACAGAGATACATGTATATTTACAGAGTCTGATCCACAATTGGTATGTTATATTTATATGTCATTGTTTATATATTTTTGGAGCTATATGTATATTTTTAAGTTGAGCATAATTGTATATTGTTTTATAAGTAAATGATTAAGTGGTCACTAGATGCAGGTACAATATGATGTAATACATTTAAAGATGTATTTTATGTGTACATGATTTATTTACATGAGATAAAATGAATGGTCTATCCATATAGACTGATCTGTTGATTAAGTATATTTAAGGTACTGTAGTGTATACAAGTCATACAAATGTATAAAACTATATATTTCATGATAGTATGGGATGTTTGGTATTTATACTTTCAGGACTTGGTAGATGTGATGTAGATGTGATGTAGATGTGATGTAGATGTGATGTAACTGTGATGTGTATGTTGTATGATGTATGACATATGATGTTTGATGTTGAGATGTACCGAATTGGAATTATATATAAAGCTAGTGTCCACTACAAATTAAATTGATGAACCAGTAACCCTCAGTTTGTTCTTTACTTATACAAGGCAAAAAGACATCGGGGTCACACTACTACTACTACTACTACTTCCTCTTCTACTACTACTACAACTAGTACTACTACTACTACCACAACCACTACCATTTCTTCTACTATAAGCTAAAAACTTACGAACTTCGAGCTGGAGTTAAGTTTCGAGCCAGATCGAAGATCGAAATTCAAAAATTTTCTAAAGACGAATTTTAAGCGGTTGTTGAATTTCAAGGCAGCTCGAAATCGAAATTCAATATTTTCAAAACCCGAATTTCGAGTTGGAGTCGAATTTAGTGACAGCTCGAAGATCGAAATTAAACACTTGAAAAAGCTGAATTTTGAGCTGGCATTGAATTTCGAAACAACCCGAAGATCGAAATTAAAAATTTTTAATATCCGATTTTTAAGGTAAAGTTCAATCTTGAGACAGCTCGAATATCGAAATTCAATTTTTTCAAAAGCTGAATTGAGAGCTAGAGTTGAATTTCCAGATAGCTCGAAGTTCGAAATTAAAAATTTTCAAAACCTGAATTTCGAACTGAAGAAGACTTTGACCAGATCGAATATCGAAATAAAAAAATTGAAAAAGCTGAAGTTCGGGCTGGAACTGAATTTCGAACCAACCCGAAAATCAAAATTAAAAATTTTTAATATCCGATTTTTAAGGTGGAGTTGAATCTTGAGACAGCTCGAATATCGAAATTCAATTTTTTCAAAAGCTGAATTGAGAACTAGACTTGAATTTCCAGATAGCTCGAAGTTCAAAATTTTCCAAACCTGAATTGCGAGCTGAAGAAGAATTTAAAGCCAGATCGAAGTTCGAAATTCAAAATTTTCAAAACCCAATTTTGGAGCTGGAGTTGAATTTTGTGTAAGCTCGAACATAGAAAGCTACTACTTCTACTACTACTACTTATATTACTACTACAAGTACTACTACTTCTTGTACTACTACCACTTCCACTACCACTTCTACTACCATAAGCTAAAAACTGACGATCTTCGAGCTGGAGTTGACTTTCGTGCCAGGTCGAAGATCGAAACTCAAAAATTTTCTAAAGACGAATTTTAAGCGGTTGTTGAATTTCAAGGCAGCTCGAAATCGAAATTCAAAACCCGAATTTCGAGTTGGAGTCGAATTTAGTGACAGCTCGAAGATCAAAATTCAAAGTTTGAAAAAGCTGAATTTCGAGCTGGAATTGAATTTCGAACCAACCTGAAGATCGAAATTAAAAATTTTCAATATCCGATTTTTAAGGTGGAGTTGAATCTTGAGCCGGCTCGAATATCGAAATTCAATTTTTTTCAAAAGCTGAATTGAGAGCTAGAGTTGAATTTCCAGCCATCTCGAAGTTCGAAATTCAAAATTTTAAAAACCTTAATTTAAAGCTGAAGAAGAATTAAGAGCCAGATCGAAGATCGAAATTGAAATTTGAAAAAGCTGAATTTCGAGCTGGAACTGAATTTCGAACCAACCCGAAGATCGAAATTAAACCTTTTTAATATCCGATTTTTAAGGTTGAGTTGAATCTTGAGACAGCTCGAATATTGAAATTCAATTTTTTTCAAAAGCTGAATTGAGAGCTAGAGTTGAATTTCCAGATAGCTTGAGTTCGAATTCAAAATTTTCAAAACCTGAATTTAGAGCTGAAGAAGAATTTAGAGCCAGATCGAAGTTCGAAATTCAAACTTTTCAAAACCCAATTTTGGAGCTGGACTTGAATTTCGTGTAAGCTCGAACGTAGAAAGTTACTACTACTACTACTACTACTTCTACGGATACTATTACTACTACTACTACTACTACTACTACTACTACTACTACTAGTAGTAGTAGTACTACTACTACTACTACTTCTACTACCACTACCACTTCTACTACTATAAGCTAAAAAACAACGAACTTCGAACTGGAGATGACTTTCGAGCCAGATCGAAGATCGAAATCCAAAAAATTTCTTAAGACGAATTTTAAGCCGGTGTTGAATTTCAAGCCAGCTCGAAATCGAAATTCAATATTTTCAAAACCATTATTTCGAGATGGAGTCGAATTTAGTGACAGCTCGAAGATCGAAATTTTAAGCTGGAGCTGGAGTTTATTTTCAAACTAGCTCGAAGATCAAATTCAAAATTTTCAAACCAAAATTTTGAGCTGGAGCTGAATTTCAAGCCAGCTTATGGATCAAAATTTAAAAAATTGAATATCCGAATTTCAAGCTGGAGTTGAATTTTGAGCCAGATTAAAGATCAAAATTCTAAATTTTCCACAAATAAACCACAATTTCGAGCAGAAGCTGAAGTCGAATTTCCAGCCAGCCCGAAGATCAAAATTCAAAATTTAAAAAAAAAACAAATTTCGAGCTGGAGTTGAATTTACAGCCAGCTGGAAAATCGAAATTAAAAATTTTCAAAACCTGAATTTTCGACCTGAAGTTGAATATCTAGTCAGCTCAAAGATCAAAATTAAAATTTTTTAAAACCCGAATTTCAAGCTGTAGTTGAATTTTGTAACAGCTCGAAGATTTGATTTAAAATTTGAAAAAGCTGAATTTCGAGCTGGAATTGAATTTCGAGCCAACCCGAAGATCGAAATTAAAAATTTTTATCCAATTTTTAAGGTGGACTTGAATTTTGAGACAGCTAGAATATCAAAATTTATTTTTTTCAAAAGCTGAATTTAGAGCTAGAGTAGAATTTCCAGATAGCTCGAAGACCGAAATTCAAAATTTTCAAAACCCGAATTTTCCACCTGGAGTTGAATTTCTAGCAAGCTCAAAGATCTAAATTTAAAGTTTGAAAAAGCTGAATTTCGAGCTGGAATCGAATTTCGAGCCAACTCGAAGATAGAAATTAAAAATGTTTAATATCCGATATTTAAGGTAGGATTGAATTTTTAGACAGCTAGAATATCGAAATTCAATTTTATGAAAAACTGAATTGAGAGCTAGAGTTTGAGAGTAAGAGTAAAATTCAATTCCAGTTTAAGAATTAGATTTTTAAATTTTTTAATTTCGATCTTCAAGCTTCCTCGAATTTCAGTTCATGTTAGAAATTCTGCTTTTGAAAATTTTGAGTTTGATCTTCGAGATGACTCGAAATTCAATTCCAGCTCGAAATTCACCTTTTTTCAAATTTTAATTTCGATCTTCGAGTGAACTCGGAATTCAACTTCAAGTCCAAATTTGGACTTTCAGCTTTCGATCTTTGAGGTTACTGGAAATTCAACTCAAGCTCGAAATTTGGGAATTGAAAAACTGAATTTCGATCTTCGAGCTGGGTCAAAATTCAATTCGAGCACGAACTCTCGCTATTTGTAATTTTGAATTTCGATCATCGAGCTGGCTCGAAAATCAACTCCAGCTCAATATTCGGCTTTTGAAAACTTTGAATTTCGATCTTCGAGCTTACTCGAAATTCGTGTTATGAAAATTTTGAATTTGGATCTTCGAGCTGGCTGGAATTCCAATTCACCTCGAAATTTGGCTTTTTTATATTTAATTTCGATCGTTGAGCTGGCTCTTAATTCAACTCTAGCACGAAATTCGTGTTTTTAATTTTTTAAATTTTGATCTTGGAGTTTACTTGAAATTCAATTCAAGCTTAAAAATTGGATTTTGAAATTTTTTAATTTCGATCTTCAAAATGGCTCGAGTTTCAATTTCTGCTCGAAAGTCTGCTTTTGAAAATTTTGAAATTCGATTTTCGAGATGACTTGAAATTCAATTTCAGCTCGAAATTCAGCTTTTTCAAATTTTAATTTCGATCTTCGAGCTTACTTGGAAATCAACTCCTAGTCCAGATTTGGGTTTTGAAATTTATGAATTTCGATCACGAGCTGGCCGGTTTTCAAATTTTGGTTTTCGATCTTTGAGCTGGTTTGAGATAATACTCCATCTCCAGCTCGACATTCGGCTTTAGAAAATTTTGTATTTCGACCTGGCTTGAAATTCAACTCCAGCTCGAAATTTGGGTTTTGAAAATTTGGAATTTCGATCATGGAGCTGGCTCGATATTCAACTCAAGCTCGAAATTCGGGTTTTTGAACATTTTGAATTTCGACTTTCGATCTAGATCGAAAGTCATCTCCGGCTCAAAATTCGGGTTATGAAAAATTTGAAATTGGATCTTCGACGTTGCTGGAAGTCCAACTCAAGCTCGAAATTTGGCTTTTTTATATTTAATTTCGATCTTTGAGCTTGCTCTAAATTAAACTCTTGCTCGAAATTCGGGTTTTGCAAAAAAAATAAAATTTCGATGTTCGATCTAGCTCGAAATTCAACTCCTGCTCGAATTCGGGTTTTGAAAATTTTGATTTTCGATTTTCGAGTTGACTTGAAGTTCAATTTTAGCTCGAAATTCAGCTTTTTCAAATTTTAATTTCGATCTTCGAGCTTACTCGGAAATCAACTCCTAGTCCAGATTTGGGTTTTGAAATTTATGAATTTCGATCACGAGCTGGCCGGTTTTCAAATTTTGGATTTCGATCTTTGAGCTGGTTTGAGATTATACTCCATCTCCAGCTCGACATTCGGCTTTAGAAAATTTTGTATTTCGACCTGGCTTGAAATTCAACTCCAGCTCGAAATTTGGGTTTTGAAAATTTGGAATTTCGATCATGGAGCTGGCTCGATATTCAACTCAAGCTCGAAATTCGGGTTTTTGAAAATTTTGAATTTCTACCTTCGATCTAGATCGAAACTCATTTCCGGCTCGAAATTCGGGTTATGAAAAATTTGAATTTGGATCTTCGACGTTGCTGGAAGTCCAACACAAGCTCGAAATTTGGCTTTTTTATATTTAATTTCGATCTTTGAGCTGGCTCTAAATTAAACTCTTGCTCGAAATTCGGGTTTTGCAAAAAAAAAAAATTTCGATGTTCGATCTAGCTGGAAATTCAACTGCTGCTCGAATTCGGGTTTTGAAAATTTTGATTTTCGATCTTCGAGCTCGTCAAAATTCAATTCCAGCATGAAATCCCGCTATTTGAAATTTTGAATTTCGATCATTGAGCTGGCTTGAAAATCAATTCCAACTC